CTAGGTCCATAATTTTTTTTTTTTTTAAAAAAAAAGTTCCTTTTTCGGCTTGGATCGGAAGTTTTATTTAAAGTAAGCTTTTTTCTTCATAATAAAATTTAACTCTACCCAAATTCCATTTATCATTTAAAAATTAACTTTTCAATAAACTTTATCTACTAATCCTCGAGCGATTCGTATGATTAGGTTTTAAAATCTCCCATTTTATACTTTTTAATAAACTCAATTTACAATACGATCAAAATTTAGAATTCACATGATCATAAATCTAACACCTTCAAGGATAAACTTTACATTATTATCTATTAATTCTTTTCTCAAGTACAAAATCCTGTTTTTTTATTGTCCTATCTTGATCAAAAAAGTTTGGCGGGCTACGTTAAGGACACATTAAGTATTTCCTTTCTAGAAAATTTTATGGTGATGCCAACATTTCCTGTGTCGCGAGTACACCTACCGCTTTACTTTCTTCCCCCTTGTTTTGGAGATCTGAGGAAGCATGTGGAATCGGATTGTTTGAGACTATTATTGTATTAAAAGGCCTCTTACTTTATTTTTTAGTGAAAAAGTTTCTTCACTTGCCCGAGAAAACAATTCATGTTGCAAGAAATTATTTGCAAAAGGATTTGCAATTCAAATGCAAGAAGATATCATTCTGGGTTCATAATAATTAATCAGTTAAATTGGGAATAATTAAATAATTTTATACTAGCGAAACGAAATGTAAAATAATTATGGTAAAGATCAATTTGAGTCCAGAAATTTCTAAAATTGTATTTATAGTTTTTTTTTATAGTTTTGGTTAATTAAAATATTAATTATTAAACATAATTAATCTATAACTCTAATCAATAATTTATTAAAGAAAAAGAAAAAAAGTGAATATGTTTGCCTTTTCAGGTTAAAAAAAAAAATCTTAAAAAAAGATGAAAACGAAAATAAATAAAATCACTTATCGGTAATTTACTATTTGGTGATTTTTGCTAGTACAATAAATTACTAATCATTTATTTTGTTATTAAGTCAAATTGTAAATCACTATTAGATAACATTATTTAATATAGTTTAATAACTAATTATTTATTTATTTGTTGAAAGTGCAATTTTTATAATATTTCTTAACTATCGTCACTTTCTTGAATTTGGGATCTTTTCTTTTTTTCATGATAGTATGATTTTCATCAGGTACATGTGACGCAGACAATTGTGTTTTGAGGAACTCTACCTTTCGCAAGTGCTAATAATTGTTCAAGGGAGAGTAATTGATTACCTTTGGATGAAATATTTTGTGTCATTTTATATTATCAAAAGAAAAAATTTTTTTTGGGAAAAGCAAGACGTGTAAAAGAAAAAAAGAAATATCATTTGTTTTTATGGAAAAAATGGTTTAATAAAGTTTAAATTAAACTATTTTGTGTGTAAACCGATAAAATAGTTACTCGGCACCACGTGATATCGTAGCTGTGGCACTGCCCGTGCCTTACATGTATTTGCAATAAGAATATGATCAGTGGAATTTGCTCACCGGTCATATTGCTTATTGCAAATACAACAGTTACTCAGCACGAAGTGCCGAGTAACTATTAATTATTTTAACCGATGCAGCACCCGATGCGGTCGAAAAACCTGCATGAAAATAAAATAGAATAAAATAAAACTAAAAAAATTAACATTAAAAAAATAAACTTAAAAAATGAAAAGTGAAAAAAAGAATTTTACTTATTTGCCGAAAAATCTGAATGAAAATAAAATCGAAATTAAAAAAAGTTAAAAGAAATTAAAAATAAAAAAAAAAAATGAAACTTTCAATTGATTCAGTAAAAATTATATAAAGAAATAAAAAAAGCTTAACTTACGTTATAATTTAAAAATTGAAAGAAAAAGAAAACCCTACTTTAAGCAGCAGCTCGATTGTGATCAAAAATCCTAAAAAAGAAAAAGAAAAAAAAAATAATCGAAAGAAAAATAAATAAATAAATAAATAAATATTGGAAATTTAAATGCTATAAAATTTAATAAATAATTGCCGAGAAATTAAATTATATGCTATGCTAAGTCTGAAATAAAATTTTAAAATGCATTTAAAAAAAAAAATTGGCATATTGTGATTGGTTAAAATAATTTTTTAAAAGCAAAAAGGGCGTCTGAAATTGGATTCAACTTCAGACGAAAATCTATTTCAGTCACAACATGAGCATCGTTTTGCTAACGATATCTCAAAATTAGGACATTCGATTTAAATTGAAGCAATGTTGTTTATTCTGCTATTCATATGACGTAGCAGGCGTTTCAGTTAAAATGCTGCAACAGTTGACTGTCATAATTGTAGAGAAATCTGTTATGGGTCATGGAAGATTATTAGAATCTCTATACAATCACTATGAACTTTCTAGCTCACAAATTACTTGAGTTGATTTGTGGTTAATAAATATTTCAAGCAAACGAAATTGTTTGGAATTTATCAGAAAAAATGAAGGTGCAATTTTTATGTTATGAAATTGTAGGATGAAGCTATTGAAGACTCATTATTCTCAACATTCTTATGTAAATCCATAAGAAACTTTTTAAATTACATCTGATTTCTTAAATGATCTCAATAATTTAACCAGCGTTAACTCCTTCTAAATTTAATTTTTTTTATATTTCTGTTCGATGAGTACATTTAGTGAGCATATTTTTATATTATTTCTAAAGAACCATTTTTTCAATATTCGAGGGAATCTCCACCTCATTCGTTTAAAAATAATATCTTTTAAAATAAATCGTTTTAATATATAAAAATGTCCATTAGTACCAAAGAACACTAGACTTTTATAATAAAACTAAGGAGGCTTATCAAACTTATATTATTCGATCGCTATATCCCAAAATGATTAAATCCATAAAAAAAAAATAAAAATTATTCAATAAAAAAATTATTGAAACTCTTAATGAAAAACGCTTTAATAAAATCCTTACTATTTGTTACTTGATCTGAATGGGTCGAATTAGGTCTGTTTAGGATAAACTCGAACAACACGACCCAATTATAAGGCAGAAAATACTAAAATTTAATTGGTTAATTCTTTCATTTTTTAATATTTTAACCAGGTTTTTTATTTTTTTTTAATAATATTTAGATGTCTGTACATTGAAAATTTTAACTTTTCATACCTTATGCTCTCAGGATTAACACGTATTAATTTACATTATTTACATTATAGTGCATCAGATCAAATTTTAAATTTAAACCTTTTTTTTATTTTTTTTTGATCGTTACTTAAATTCTTTGTCAGATATCAAGAAAATTTACGTACTCTGAGGTATTTTAAGCGATTATACAGGTTGTCAAAGTTACTAATAAAATATGTCATTTAAAGAAAAACTTTTTTAATTCTCATAGTTCATTCTCAGACAAAAGATTCGTAATAAATGATCTTATCGTAATATGTCTTTTTTGATTTTGATTTAGTTTGTACTACTATAATTCTCCCATAATTTTCGTAATATGGATTTTAGAAAATTAAGAATTTTACTATTAGCAAAAACTATTGAGCCCTGAAGATTCATAAGAAAGCATTTTCAGTCTTTATGTTTCATAAAATGGTAAGTAAGCAATTAACGTATGTTTACTAGATTATCGTTATTGTAGTAGTAATTTTCGTACTCTTTGAAAGAACATTGACGTTGACTAACTTGCGTCGATCTCAATACGTTGACATGTCAAGAAGAAAGACATTCAGAAGTCTCTAATGCTATTAACGTTGTTCATATCTGGTCGTGCAATGATTGAATTATTTCGAACTAAACGTTCAACTCATCCGTTCTAGTGTGAAGAATATTTGTTATCCTATTGGAAATATGTATACAAGAGTGGAACGGATTATTTAATTTGCGTATAACCCTATTAGAATGTGGCTATATCGATTAAAGTTCGATATATTTACTCCTCGTAATAAAATACAATTAATAATAAATTACAAATACGAAATTCATATATAAGTAAGAGTATAGAAGACAAATTTATATAAATTTTAATTTTATAGTTATTGTTTCTTTGAGTTAATATTAAATGAAACGATTTTATTTTTTAGTTAATTCAAAAAAAAGTCGTTCATCCTCTCTTTCATTTTTACTACAACTAGCTACAGTATCACGCCAGCTCGACCTATTGTTAGAAATCTTCGTTTTTCTATGTGGTTAGAGCCGATGGATCTCGATACATCGTGCATTTTGTAGCAATCAACGACCAGAGCAATGTATCTTGATCCTCCTGACATCACATGTTGCCATCGTCTGTGGTTTACCTCTTCTCCATATCGTCTTGACACACTTAATTAAACTCACTTTTTTAAAAATTTATAAAAAAAAAAAAATAAAAAATAACTGCCCCTTTGAAATATTTCATTAGTATTCTTAACTTTTGATAGACTATGATACAAAGTTGTATCATATCTTTTATATGAAGATACTTTCTTACATTTTAAATAATTCCTCTTTTGACTATTTCATCCGTATTTTGTAGCTTGTAATTTTTTTTTAATGCTTGAATTTAATTATAGCCTGAGTGAAATTCTTTTTATTATTTTTATAACCCTATTATATGCGTTTTAAGGGAATTGTGGATTCTGATTTTCTGAAAAAGCTTTTTTTGATGAGTGATATGCAAAATTTTGAATTATCTTGTCACTATTATAATATAGCCAATTTGCTTATTTCAATTATTAGGGTTTCCGTTTGAAATACAAATTGCATTTCAAATATTTGAAAGTTTTTTAAAAATAATTTCAAACGAATATCGAAATGATTTTGGATATCGAAAGTCATTTCGGATTATCGAATTGATTTCGAATACTCGAAAATCAATTCGGATACCAAATCATTTCGTATATCCGATATTGTATATACTTTTTTTTTCATTCGCATTTTCCTCTTTTAGTTTTTTGGTTTTTTTCGATATTTTTAAATTTTTCGATTAGGTAAGCTTTAGTTTTATTTTTTTACATTCTTTTTTTTTATTTTTTTTTATTTCATTTATTTTAAAATAAATAATCGATCGATATTCGAGTCGATCGAAATGATTGATAATCGAAATGAAATGATATTGATATTCGATCGAAATGATATCCGAATTGATATTCGATCGAAATGATATCCGAATTGATTTTCGATATTCGATATCCGAAATGAATTTTAATCATGTATTTTCGGAAACCCTATCAATTATGTCACAAAAAATGATCGACCATCGATCATTACTAATTTACTACATAACATCACATTTATTAAATCAGCTGCAGCCAATATAACATGACTTACGATTTATATTCTCGTATCCAATATCTGAATGGTATTTCCTAGAGACGAAAACAACTTTTAACTCATGAAAATACTAAACATCGAAATAACAATTTTATACCTCACCTTCATTTACTCTTTCAGCTTTCCTTTGAATACCTTGTATCTTACCAAGATGCATTTATAATTCTCATTAAAAGCATTTTTGTTACAGTAGACTTTCTGTGGGATCTAAACTGACTTTCAATAGATGCTTACCCTGAAAATTTCTTTGCTTAAATTGTTTCAAAGTGAATAGTTTTTTAGGTATAATTCAGCACTACGAAAATATCATTGTACATTTAAAGGTGAGGCGAGGGAAGGGAGATTGAAGCAAATTTTAAACTATGAATATTGGAATTGCCGGCAAGTTCTTTAGACAAAGACAACAGGATATGTATTATTTGTAAATTACGAGGATGTTTATGAAGTCTCTTTCAGTTAGACACAGACTGAATTAATTGAAACAGTCGAATCTTTCAATGTGGAACAGTTACCTGCATGTTTACAACTGATTTAGGAGAATTTATTAACGAGTAAATTTCAAAATTCTTTTTAAATGTTCATTTATAACTATGGACTATGGAGAAATAATTTTTTTCTTTACTATAATTGAAGTAACAAATGAAAACAATACTTCAAATATTTCAAAAAAATACACTTCAAAAAAAAATATTGATGACAAGAAAATTAGATCTCAGCTTTTTATTTGGAATTTTAACAATTACGTTTTAAAACCGCATTGCTTATTAAATAAAGTTATTTATTCAAAGCGCGCATCATTAAAATAATAGTCTCAAATTATGAATGCTTTTTATTTAGGCTTATTATCTGAAGCGTAGCGAAGGACACTTCTGTTACAGTCAAAATCATGTAATGTCTGTCTAGTGCTCTCTGTAAAGGTCAGGTCAGGTCAGGTTTAAGGCATATTTGAACTCGAACCCGTTAATAATTACAGAACCTGAATTTGACTTGACCCGATCATTGTTCGACTCGTTTAATCCAGATTGAACTTGAATTTTCAAGATGTCGAAAATAAAATAATAACATTTATCTCATGGTTACTAATGGTCGCCTGTGATTTTTTATATTGATATTTTATTACCAGTAAAATATCAAAGTTTATTTTAATGCAGATCATTAACGTTTAATTATACAGTATATTATGATTTGTAATACAAATATATTTTACAATTTAAAAGTTACATTATTAAAATGATAATTATTAAAAATAGGAAGTTTCTTTTGAATATCATTAGAAGAAGAAAATTCTGGTTGAACATTAACATTTGCATTTTTACTTATTGAATCAGTAATAATTGATCTTGATGGTTCTATAGCATTAATTAAAGTATCCATAGTAGCAAGATGTTGTTTTTTATTCACTTTTTTATATGCATGAATACCTTGAATACTTTTGTGACCTGTTACTCCTATTATAGCATCTTCTGGAACATTAGTATCCTGAAGAATTTGAGTAACAGTTTTATGATCAGAATGGTTTATTAAAAGACCAAATGGAAGTTCTACTTTAACAGACTTTCCAATATCTTTCATAAAATTTCCTACTTTATTACTTCCATAATGTGATTGTTTATACCAAACACTAGTTTCATACCAAAGTAGATTAATATGTAAATAGAATTTTTTAGAAGTACTACTAGGATATTTAGACAAATATTTTTAATATAATTAGCTGATTCTGAATTTGAAAGAAGATGAATATTCAGTGCAGCTCCTCCTCCTTTAATTCCATGCAGATTGTTTTTGCTATAATAATGGCAAAAAATAAAACTACCATTAGATAAAAATTGAAATTGAAGATTATAATGTTCACCACTACAAAATGCAAAGTTAGTTGCAATTCAATAAATATATTATATAAAAGACCTTCAGGGTGTTAGGATTAAGAAAGTCATCAGCAAAATTTCTTGAACTTGCTGTGTAGTTAACGCTATTAATCCCTTTTTCATCAAATTCTTTTTCTTGCAAATCTTTCATTTTGCCATGTAAACAGTAAATAAATTTGAAAACTCATATTTATCATATAAATTAATTCTGCGTATTAGAGAAACTTTACTAAATATTGATTA